TTTGTCCCAGAGAAGGTGAAGCTGGAATGCTCCTTGGAGTCAAGGATTCTGAAGCTTTGTCTGACATATTTTGGGCATGTTGCAAGGAGGGACTGGTCCTTGGAGAAGGTGTCATGTTTGGCAGAGTGGAGGGGCGGCGAAGGAGAGGAAGACCTTCAATGAGATGGATCGATTCTGTGACTGGAGTGGTGGGAATAAGTGTGTTGTGTTTGGTATGGCTAGGTTGGCACAGGATGGAACGGCATTTAGGGCTCTTGTACTATGAGTCGCAAGTGACTCGATGACACATAACGATAACAACAACACTACTCCCTTGCTCTACTAATGCAACAGTTTCTTTGTCTAGGTACAGGTTTCACATGATCACGATTAAGTGTCTTGGGATTCCATTTGTTCCCAATGTCAGCTATAATTTATTATACTCCACACAGTCACAGAATAAACATAGATAGACATATTCACTGCTTTCAGCCAAAATCAATCTCACAACAGCAATGATATCCACTATGACATGGCTTTTTTTATATCCAGCCTGAATGTCTGGCAGTCCTCTGCTGTACTCTCCTAGCCATCTGTTTTAAATTTTATACTCATTTATTTGCAAAGTTTGAATACATTGTTTGTTTTTTCAGGTTTATTTTTTTAATTTTATTTTATACTGGTTTACATACAAAGTTCATAAAGTTCATATACAACGAATACACTATTTTTCACACCAAACCGTTCCTATTTCCTTTACTCTTTCCCATCAAATTGTATGACCCTATGGTTAACGCCCCTCACTGCCCATCCTCACTCCTCTGCTTTCACCCTTCCCCTCCAAGGATTCTCATAGTTATTCTACAATAATGGTTTTATAGAGTATTTTTCCTTATGGGACTGAGTTAGTTCGCTCAGCAATGTTCTCCAGTTCCTCCCAAGTTAGATAGTAATTTACAAAATCATTGCCCCTGTGTGCTGTGTAGTGTTCCATTGCATGAATGTACCATAATTTCTCAATCCCTTCAATCATGGTTGTACATTTGGGCTGTTTCCAAGTACTTGTGATGGTAAATAACATTGTTAGGAACATTGGCATACAAGTTTCCATTCATGCCTCAGTTCTCCTTCTCTCAAGGTATATTGCAAGCAGTGGAATAGGTGGATCATATGGAATTTCTAAATTCAGCTTTTTGAGGACGTGCCAAACTGCCTTCCAGAGTGATTGCACCATTTTACAATCCTACCAACAATGTATAACAATGTATATCTTGCCACATCCTCTTCATCATTTATTACTTGTTGTCTTGTTAAAATTTGCCACTGCTACTGGAGTGAGGTGGTATCTCATTGTGGTATTGATTTGCATCTCTCTTATTGCCAGTGATTTAGAACATTTTTTCATATGCCTGTTGGCCATTCAAATATCTTCCTCTTTGAAAATTCTTTCCATTTTAAGTAGTCTTCAGCAAAATTTTACTTGCATGTGAGTTTAATGGTATTGTTTTTTGTTTGTTTGTTTGTTTGTTTTCATTGTCATTTTTTTTTAATTGGGAAAAACATATTGGGGGTACAAGGAGGTGAGGGTTGGGGGCAGAGGGGTGAGGATGGGCAGTGATGCAGTTGCAGAGCAGCAGAAATTGGTTGGTAGGGGGAGCAGGAGAAGGAAATGAAAAGGATCCAGTGAGGTCCAGATGCTACAGGGGAATGATAAGCATTTTCCAATGGTAATTAAACCAACTGTCTTATTGATTTGGGAACTGTATTCTGACTCTCTGGCTTCTTCATGCTGAACAGGCACGTTGATGTGAATGGGGAAAGGGAGGACACTTTATCACCTTACTGGTGATCTTGGGTTAAGGCTGCTTGCCTTCTTGTTCTGTTAGAAGATATTTTCCTGTCATTTCTCTGGACTGCAAGGTGTTTTCCCAGGTGCATCCAGGTGGTTGAACCCAGAGGCTCCATCCTCCTTTGCTTCTTTGGCTGGCAGTTGTATTTCCTTTTAGTCACTGGCACTGGGTTTGGGGTCAGGTCTGAAGTAGAACTCAGTGGCAAGGTTACCTATAGGAAAGGGAGCAAACCTAGAGAGAACAAACTTGTGAGTTACAAACAGAGGAGTTTTGGGGGTGTTGCTTTCAGGTTTACCAGGGGAGAGGGTGGCAGAAAATAGCCAAGATAAAAATTCTCTGGATATCCTAGGCATTTTTTTTCCTACCCAGGGGTCAGATGGCACAATCTGGGGACTGAGGAGCTCACCCTGAGGGCTGTGACTGCTCGCCCTGAGCCGAGGGCTGAAGACAGCCTGTCCCGAGCAGGGCAACACCCCCCATGGGCTGACTGGTACACTCCCCCTGTAATTGCCCCCACCCCAATCTGGTCCCCTTGCCTGACCAAGGACTGTGTGGCCAGGGACAGCATCTCCAATTTCAGCACCACCCATAAGTGATCATACTATAATTTGAAGTAGGTGTCACTGCCCTCCCCTTTTATAAATGGCAAAGGGAACCCAAGACTTGTGAACAGGCTCCCCCCAGGTCTAAACAGCTTTTGGCAGAAGCATTCAACAGATCAAAATATGTGGTGCATTTAGGATATCGGTCATCTTGGACATGCTGCCACTGTTAAGTGTCATCAAGTAGACAACTCACAGTGACTTTCAACAATCGATTGTATAGGTGATCATCTTCTCTGGCTTTCCAAGGAACCCCAAAACTGCAGGTGGCTGGGTGCATGCCCCCCCACAGGCAGCGGGGTGCACGTCCCATCTCCCATGTGGCAGCCAGCGGGGGCGCACCACCCCCCAGCGCGGTCAACTGGCAGCGCACGTCATCTCTAGGCAGGCACGTGTCATCTCGTGTGTGGGCAGCTGGCGAGCGCATGCCATCTCCCAGCACGGGTGGCCACTGGTCACGTGCCATCTTCTGTATGGGTGGCTGGTGGGCGCAAGCCATCTCTGGAGCATCATCTCCCACACAGGCGGCTGGTAGGTGGGCATCATCTCGAGCATGGGCGACCGGCGGGTGTGTGTCATCTCTCAGTGGGCACAAGCCATCTCCCACATGTCATCTCCCCCACAGGTGGCTGGCGGGCATGCTTCATTTCGCGTGTGGGAGGCCAGTGGCTGCCCGCTTCCCCTGCCGCCACCATCTTGGCTCCAAGAATTCTCCCCAGAACAAGTCCACTTTGCTGCAGTGTGGTGGCTCTGCTGCACCAGTCCTGGGGAGGCCCGGTGCCCACTCTCCATCCTGGGCGAGGGATTCCATAGGTTCCAACTGTGGGAGCTTCATGGAGCTGCGGCTGCAGTGTGGCACAGTGCGGTCTCTGCAGGAGGGAGTTGGGAGCTGAGGCATTCCTCCTTGGGAATCCTTGAATTCCTGTTGTTGAGCCTCAATCTTCACTGAAAACCGGTCATCAACTGTTTAACAGTTCAATTATCAATAAACAGAAGTCTGTAGAAGGCCATAGTGGCCCTGTTCCAAGTGGTCCGCTGCTCCCGCAGTTCACCACGTTGTCTTCGCCTCCTATTAATGGTATTGTTTGGTAATTCCCACATTCTGTTGGATTGGCTCTTGAGAATGACAACAAGTATGGATCTCTTCCAATCAGTTGGTCATACTTATTCTCGTGAACACATCCTGGGTTATGAAACATGTCAGTTGGAAACACATCAATTCTAGGAGCCTTATTTTTTGGTTAGTGCCTTCAATAAAATTTTAACTTCTTCTTTAACCATTAGTGGTTCTTAATCATATCCTACTTCTTGAAATGGTTTTGTCTGCCAATAGATTTTTTTGCTATCTAGGCTCTGTGCAGTCCTTCCTCCTCCTCCTCCTCCTCCTCCTCCTTCTTCTTCTTTTTGTTAGAAGAAATTTCTTTTGTGACAACGCATCAGCAGGAGTCAGACCAAGTGGCTCACCACTCCAGTGTCTGCTCATCCCCGGGTGAGTTTCAAGGTTATCTATACCACATATCAGGATTGCACATGTATATAATCATTCTCACAAATAGCTTAAATAAATATCTAATCTATAAGGACAAATTATAACTTCTGATTATAGTTCATCCCTAGGACTACATGTATTTTTACTATATGTTTTAGGGCAGTTTTTTAAATTGGTTTGCATACAAAGTTTGTATACATTCTTTTGAGGTTCCCAGGATATTCAGGATCTTTGAATTTGTTTTTCAGGTCTTTCAGCTTCAGAAATGCTGAGTTCTTCCCTTCTTGTTTTCTACTTCCAGCACATTTCTTCACACTAATTTATTTTGTCCTTTCAAATTGCTTCTTCAACAACTCTTTCATTTATTTTTTCAGTGTTCTAGTGCAGTTTTCAGAATTTCTTCTGACATTAATTTTGGTCTTTTATTTCTCCTTTGTCTTTGTAATGTGTCTCTGCTCTCTTCATGGATTACTTCCTGATGTCATCCCATAAATCATCTGATTTTTTTTTCTCTGTATGTTGAGATGTAACCCATATTGAAGGCTGGGAACTTTGATATTCTGCAGTAAGTCTTCTTCACTTCATGTAAGTAAGTCTGTGTCATATGTTGATGAGTCTTCCTCCAATCCTGATGCCATATTCTTCTTCATATGGTCCAACTTCTTGAATTATTTGTCCAGTATATAGGGAGCTCTGGTGGCCTAGTAGCAAGAAGTTGCACTGCAATCCCAAAGGCATGTGGTTTGAATCCAACAGCTTCTCTGCAATTTACTGCCCCTGAAAACTAGCTGGAGGGTCAGCTATGGGTTAAAGGTACACAACAACAACATAGATTGAATAAGTATGGAGAAAGGATACGACTTTGATGCATGCCTTTCCTGATTTTAAATCATGCAAAATTGCTTTTTCAGCTCACACAACCGCTTTTTGGTCTATGTATGAGTTGCATGAGCACAGTTACATATTCTGAATTCCTGCTCTTTTCAACGTTATTAATAATTTAATATGGTCCACACAGCTAGATGTCTTTGCACAATCAGCAAACCAGAAGTAAACATCTTTCTGGTATTCTCTGCTTCCAGGTCACTTCTCTGTAATTTTACCAGGCTCTAGTGGTTTGTATGTTACTGTGATGCTAGAAGATATGCCATCAATATTTCAAATTTCTTCTTGGTGAATACGTTTTGATGGAACTTCCAGACTTCAATGGACTAAACAGTAGAATCTGACATCCACTACTGAAACACTGAAAGTCCTATGGATAGAGGAAGTTGAATAGTGGGAGGCTGTGGCGTAGGATGGGGAGAAGCCATTTTCCTCAATTCTGAGAAAGATAGTAACCACCCTCATTGTTTTGTACCAGTGCAGATTTACAGAAAATATACTTTTCCTGAGTTTAGAAGAGGCTTTGACTCTAGGGACATCATTACCAATGTCAGATGGGTGTTCGCAAAAAGCAGAGAGTACCAGAGGAATGTCTGTCTGTGTTTCATTGACTATGCAAAGACATTTGACTGTATAGATCACAACAAATTGCAGCTAATCTTGAGAAGAATTGGAATCTCAGAACACTTATTTGGGCTCATGCAAAATATATACTTGAACCAGGAGGCAGCCATCAAAACAGAGCAAGGAAACACTGCCTGGTTCAAAATCAGGAAAGGAGTGCCTGTCTCCATATCTTTTCAATCTGTATGCAGAACAGATCATTTGAGAGGCTGGTCTTTATGAGGAGGACATCACTTTATTTGGCATCAAGACTAAAAGAAGATTCATTAACAACCTGAGTTATGTAGATGACACCACATTTGCTGCAACTGAGGAGGGCCTCTAGTGTTAACTGCAAAAGGTCAATGACTACAGTCTGCAATATGGTTCAACATCAAGAAAATGAAGACGCTCATCACTGGGCCACTTGGCAACATCATGATAGGTAGAGACTGAGACTGTTAACAGTTTCAGCTTGCTTGGTTGCACAATCAAGCCTCTTCGCACCAGCCGTCAGAAAATCAAAAGGCAAATTGTATTAGAAAAATAGTCTGTTATTGAACACTCCAGAGTGTTGGCCAGCAATGATGTCAGTCTGGAGACTAAGGTGTGCCTTATCCAGAACATGGTCTTTGCAATTACTTACAATGCATCAGAGAGCTGGACAATGATTAAGGATGATAGAAGAATTGATATTATTGAATTGTGGTGCTGGAGAAGAATATTGAACCTACCCTGGGCTGCCAAGAGAACTAACAGGTATGTCCTGGAGTGGGTGAAACCAAACTACTCTTTAGAGGCAAGGATTTTGAGCCTCTGTTTTACATACTTTGGGCATGTATCCAGGAGGGACCAGTCTTTAGAGAAGGGTATGGTGCTTGGAAGGGTCAAGGGACAGTGCAGGACAGAAAGACCCTGGATGAGATGGTTTGACACAATAACTGGGGTAATGAGGTTAGGTGTGTCAGAGACAGTGAGATTGGCTCAGGATAGAGCAGAGTTCATGGATCTTGTGCAGAGGCTCACTATGAGTTATAGTCTACTTAATGACACATAACAACAACATACACAAAAGCTCATTTCTTGCTCTGCTAGTTGCTAACTAAGTGGCTTCGGATAAGTTTTTGAACTTTGAAAAGAATTTTGCGAATTTCATAGGGTTTTTACTCTTATTGTTATTATGATTATAATTATTTTATTAAAGCCTTTGAAAGGAAGAATGTAATTATTACTTATAAAGCCTCAAGTCTAACTGCTCACAGAATGCTTTCAGTTTATGAATCAGCTTTGACCCTCTATCTAGGGTCAATGTAAAAATCTTTGATCAGAGAGAACTATATACAGAGAAAGGCAGAAGTGACAGAGTAATGGCTCCAGCTATTATTTGCCATGCAAGAGTCTAGCAGTAGAAATGTTACTGTGTCTTGGAGTCTTGTTAAAGGTTAACTTTCATCAAGGCTGAGATTTTTTATGGGTGTTGAAGTGGGCAGGAAGATCAAGGACAGGTTCGAGAATGACTTTTGAAGTCCGAATATCTCGTTCAGAACAGACAGCCTAGTTTTCCTTGGATGAGTGAGAAATCAGAGCATTAATTGAGCTCTAATTTATGAAGATTGAATAAGAATTTGATCCACTCTCAAACACTCAGAAATAGTCTATATTATGATAAAATGCAATTATATGTATTTACCTCAGTCATCTAGTCTGACTTTTAGATTTATAGTTACAATGGAATAATATGGTATTTTGGAATAATAATCCAACCTTTTAGAAAGTTTGAAATATTATAATTTTACATATCACAAGATGAAATAATAATCATTGTGATTTACCAAACCTCCTGATGCTTTAATATTTACTTAATTAATATCAGGACCCATTCTTAATACCTTCTTGTGCACCATGTTCAAAAGGGAATCTAAAAATCAAGTATCATCCATCTACTCACATGGATTCTTTTTCCCATCTCCATTGTCACCATCCTAATCTATTATTATCGGGACCATATAGTTGCCATAAACTTTGGCCTCTCAGCTGTTAGTTTTCCCCTTTGTGGTATATTCTTCATAAATCTGTCAGATAAATTTTTAACAAAAAATATTATTTACATTTAAGTTTACAGAGCAGACTGGTACCCTCTTCAACCATTCAGACATATATTATTTTATTACATTGATTACAACTCCCACATTGTGCCATCACTAATTCCATTATCATTTTATTATTCCTATTTTATTTTATCCCTTCATCTTCTTCCCTTCTACTTTCTGAGTTTTATTGTTGAACAAATATTGTCCTTGTGAGCATGAGTGATCAAGTGTTTTAAGTGTTGATAACTTTGTGTTATTGTTCATCTTAAAAATCTGTCTATTGTCTGGTTGAAAATTGTGCTTCAGTGGTGAGTTCAGTTCCAAGCTCAAAGGAAGACAAAAGACCACAGTCCATTAATCTCTACTCAGGCCAGTAAGCCTAGATATTAGTGTCATTTTAAATTTGTTCTACATTTACCTTCTGCTCTATCT